CACAGCCACATCCAGTTCCAGCTGAGGGCACGGCTGGCGAACTGCCATGTCCAGCAAGAAGGGTGGCCAGTGGCTTCTCCGCACAAAGAACAGGTTGCAAAGTTCTCCCTGCACTTTGTACCAAGATGCCAGCTTCTGGCAACTACAAGCCCCAACATGCACTGCATTCTACTCAGTTAAAAAGCTGTGAATGAAATCTGAATACTTGAAGGAAAGGGTCACACACAAATTGAGTGGCATCTGGAAAGTCTCTGACTTCAAAAAAAAAATGAGCAAATGACTGGCACAAGACAATCACCCATAATAAAAATTTGAATTAGGAGCTTAATTATGTTTCTATGGCTCCGCAATCAATCTCAACTCTGTTCAGGCATTTGCCTACATCTGCTGTCTTGGGGTAGGATGGAAGATAGGATCCTGCATTCTACCTGTACTCCAAACAAGTAAGTTAACAGCAGAGGTTACCTGTTAACAGGTAAGCCCAGAGGTAAATCTGATAGCCACTGAGATATTAAACACCTAGAAAAATCAAAGACTGTAGAGATTGACCTTCCTTTCTGCTTCCTGTAATTTCATCCCTCCTTCTATGTATGTGTTGTCAGGATCCACCAACATCCACTGTCACCATGCAGAACTCAACGGAGACGCCACTTTTATTAGGCCGTTGTTCAGCTGGACCCCTGAGAAAAGTACCAAATTCCCTGTACTTTGAGTGTCTTGCAACCTCAATCTCTTACTATAGCACAAAAAGAAAAGCCCAACATAACATCCTGTTTTAAAAAGCTGAAATGATGGAAGAGAATGCTCTCTCTCTCTCCCTCTCCCTCCCCCGCTCTGTGTGTGTGTGTGTGTGTGTGTGTGTGTGTGTGTGTGTGTCTGTGTGTGTGTGCGTGATGTATTCCCTTCCTTAACAAAGGTGCTTAAGCTTCCTTGGAAACAACATAAAATTAAAATCCCCCAATGTACTTTAAAACAGTGGCATTGTGGGAAATTTGACCTAAATGGCAGCATATAAATATCCTGGTAACTTTCCAGTAGACAAGATGCCAGCTCCTGTCTTGGAATTCTATGAGCTTATATGAAGAAATGCAAGGAAGCCCCCAGCTTATTATTTCTCAACCCTAACCCTCAAAACAAACAGTTTAGCTCAGCACCTTCCAGCCCAACAATTTCCCCCCAATCTATGGTTTTTTGGGTCCTCAAGTAGGCAGCTTTGACCTCCTTTCTACATCTACTGTGAACATGCCTAAGAATTCTAGACTACTTTAATGCCAGTGCCTCAGGCTGTAACATAGGCAGGTTTCACAGCAACCTACATTCATGTACATTGGGGGAACAACTCATACCAAGACTGCCATAGAAGTTTAACATGTTAAGATCTGCCATTAAGCCAAGTCGTAACAGACTCAGTTGCCAGCTACTGCTCATAATTTTCTGTATGTGTTGTTCTAATGTCTACCCTAAACTTGGATATTGATGTTCCAAGCTTATTATNAACCTTGGCAATCAAAGCTACAGCAAAACTGGGTGGGGAATTCTGGGAGTTGAAGTCCACAACTCTTCAAGTTGCCAAGGTTGAGGAATACTGTCCTAGATTGTCCTAGATTGGTCAGTGGTGGCTGAAGGCTTTCTCAAATGCCCTGGGCTTAAAATATAACATTGACTTTGTCACAACTGTCTTTCTTTAAATCTTACAACAGAAGACGAAAAGGTCACTCTGCTCAGTTCCTGTGCCCCAGTGAATTTGCAGCTTTATTGATTTATGCTTGGTCTGTTTGCAGGACAAACCCTCCCCTTAATTTTAATACAATCTAAAGTGGGTTTGCCTTTTATACGGGCCAGGGAGAGCACAACCACCGTTCTTAGAGAAGTATTTTTCATGCCATGAGTCAAGTCTACAATAATCACAAGTGTAAGCCTGAGCATAGTTTACTCAGAGTAGTATTCCACCAAATTCAGTGGGGGATTGGTATATGCTCAACGCAATTTGCCTAGGTGTCTTGAGATCCTATGTGCATTTACTTGAAAATAAATCTGATGGCCTAAGTCAGTGGTTCCCAAATTTGGCAACTTTAAGACTTGTGGACTTCAACTCCCAGAAGTCTCCAGAGCTGGCTGGAGAATTCTGGAAGTCCACAAGTCTTAAAGTTGCCAAGTTTGGGAACCACTGGCCTAAGTGATGCTGACTTCCAAGGAAGCCTGCATAAGAGTCTCTTGCACGCTTGCAGTGACATTTCTTCCTCCCCTTTGAAACATCAAGACCAGAATGCTTTAGTCCATTCACAGCTTTTTCTCTGTAGTTTTTACCCCCATGAGATTAGTCCCCGATGGCAGTAAAGGCTTTCAGTTTTAGAGTGGGCTTATTAGTATTTTATAAACACTGCCTGGAGGGTGGGGGGAGAGAGAGCAAAATATAAATTTGCCTCTCTACTGATTTCAAGTGCCTATTTTTAAATGTTTGGTTGTTTAGAGAAAATAATATACAATCATACTGTACTTCAACTCATACAGTATGACTATTCTGTGGTCAATGAAGTATTCTATTCTGCTCTGAAGTAACTTATTTATTGCTAAGATCGCGCATTCATTGCTGAAGGCACATATATAATTCTTATTACTTTACAATAATGATGGAAATACATGATGTTACTTTCTTTGGCCACGAATATTAAAGAATAAGAAAGGACAACTCAGCACAAGATCTGTGATCCCAAAGATAATTACACCATCAGAATCATGTTGCTGGATCAAGCTGTCTATGAGTCAAGAAGTATTAAACAACCTACCATTCACCAGCTACTGGGAGCTTGTTTCTTCATGAACCAACCATCCATGTTTGCTTTCATTTCCACTATTGCTGGCAGCGAATTTCATATCTGAATATAAGCAGCATGGAAATATTTTTTTTTCTTTCAGGTGATTCTGAATCGTCCTGCACTTAGCTTTAATGGATGTTCCAGCACAGATCCGAGGGAGAAAAACATGCTTAAATCCATCTATAGATGGAATCTACTTCCTCCAGCCCCTGGAGAGAGACTACTCTCCAGCTTCTTCTTATGAAACACTCCCAGCCTTTTCTTACTGAGGTCATTTGTCCCACCAATTCTATACTCGGTGGATTCTATTCTAGTCTTCCTATTCTTACCAATAGGAAGCATCTTCCAGCATTAGCTAAGAGCAATCTCCTGATTGACAGCTCTTCAGATACTTAAGAACAGTCATCAGGCAGGATTACCACTTTGCTTTTAAGAATCCAAAGCAATAGCACTTAAGATGTATGTTTTAAGCGGGGTGCAAAGCATTTCATTTATATGATCATTGCCATCATTTTTGCTATTGTCTTTATACAGAATTACATTGTCTCCATGAGCTGCAAACTATCTTATAACGTGACAATTTGACTGGGGCTTCCATGATACTAAGAATGCTTAAACAGAGTTTGCTGAATAAACCACAGAGCTGGCTGGATTCACACAACAGGCTCAGCCACAAAGCAAACTTCTTAAGTAAACTGTGTGAACTAAGCTACTATCCACCATACTGCAAGCATAGTGGAACTAGGCGGAGGAGGGGCTGAGAAAATGGCACCTGCCATCACAATTATTTAGTGAATCCATAACAGCAGCTGAGATTCAAACTATGACTTTTGAAACCTGGAGAAGAAGTGGGGAAAAAAACCAGGTCCCTTATAACGTCCACAGGTCATCTACCACAGTAACAGAGTTTCTATCGTTGGCAAGTGTATAAAATGTGTGGACTTCACTTCCCAGAATTCCCTAGCCAGCTATCCTGGGAGTTAAAGTTCACACATCTTAGAGTTGCCAAGTTTAGGAAACACTGTCTTAGGTCATACAATATTTCAAATATGAAAGAAGATTCCATGATCCCACTGCTTGACAGTGTTTCTGACAGATTCAGTAGATACACAAACACTTCCCCAAAGCATATTTCTCCACCGTAGTCCAAAGCATGGTGCAACCATAGCATTTATCCATTGCAAGCAGCAACTGTGGTTTTTTTAAAGAAATATTTCTAAATAAATCCATAGTAAGTTATATCTCCTGGCATGGAATTGCAAAAATTATGGCCTCAGGGGATTCTTAAATGCTGTCCACCACCTCAAAGTCAAGGTACTAATTATGACCTTTAAAGCTCTCCATGGCTTAGGCCCAGGATACCTGNCTCGGTAGCAGGCTCCGCCCACCTGCCCCTCGTTTTGACGCTCTGCGCAGGCGCGGAAGGTCCTGCGCATGCCCGGAGGTGGCGTGTGCGAGCAAAGCGTAAGGTAAGTGGATTTCACCCCTGCTCAAAATCAAAGATTAGTGTTTCTACGGGACTGTTTTTCTTCACACAAAAGTTCTATGGGGGTATTTTTGTCACTGGCAGATGGGAAAGTAGGGAAAATGGAAACACCACCCCCCCACATTTTTTTTTTTAAGGATGAAAAACAGGATTGCATTTGTACAATCCTAAAATCCTGTGACTTTTGCTCTATCCAGTGTATCCATATTTTCCTTTCCACTGTTCCTCTAATTCTGGCAATATGTCTTCCTAAGTTAATTGGCAGTTATAAATGTTGTGCCTTCAAAGTTTGTTTATCCAAATTTACTGCAAAATTCTTCTTTTTTGGGGGGGGGCAGACCGCTGAACAATGTTCTAATCATTGGAATGACTTTCCCAATGGAAGCTGAGCTGTTTAAATCTTTTTTCGTCCTAATAATAAAAGACCCACAACTTTCCACATCTGTAGTAAACAGAACTAGCAAGCTGGGGCCCAACGGCTGGGTTTGTGAGACGGAAACAGAACTACATCCGTGTTCCACAGCCTTGAAATCTATGTTTTGTAATGGAGTCCAACGTATGGACCAACCTTCCTGATCTGGAAACCTCCTAAGATGGATTCCAAAGTGTGGATTCAACCTTTCTGATCTGGAAACCTGAGACTAAATCCTAAGGATGATTTAATCTGGAAAAGATTCTGGTTGCCCTTCGTCCTAGCTTTAGTTCATCCCAATCAATCTATTGAGGATTTCTTTCATGAACCTACTGAAAAGACAAGAAGACAAAGAAGATTCCCCATGAGATCCTATCAGAGGTGGTATTCAGCCGGTTCAGATCGGTTCAAGCGAACCGGTAGTGGAAATTTTAAGTAGTTCGGAGAACCGGCAAATACCACCTCTGGTTGGCTTCATCTCCCGTCCCCATATATTCCCTTGTTGTTTAGCTCAGCTGATTCGCGCGGCAGAAAAACACAGCTCAGCTAACCAGAGCTGACACTGAGGGGGGGGGGGGGGGGTCTTTGCTGTGCGCGCAAAGTGCTCTCTCATAGTACCAGTAGCCAAAGATTTGGAATCCACCAATGGATCCTATTGTTCCACCCCTCCTTTTAAAGGAACACGTTAATTTTCTGTGTTCCAAATCTCTTACCTCTTCATACAGTTCCACGTCCCAATAAATATCTGAGTTATGAATCTGGCCAAGGATTCTATATTGGGGACTGTAGAGGAAAAACGACAGAAATACAATTATTTGCGTTATAACCTTTCCTGTTGGGAGAAATCACAAGATCATGTTTACCTGCGCGTGGCAGAATTCTTAAGAATTTTTTTTTTTTTAAACACCAAGCCAACCAACAAAACCTGTCACTTGACTGATCATGTCCAAAGTTTATGTCCACTATCAAAACAGGTTCTACGGCTTTGAACCTGACTCGCTGATCGAGAAAGAAAGCAAGCAACCTTCTGCTAACAAAAATAAAGTGGCTATATAATGAAGCCTTTACAAGACTAAGGACTAGTGAAAAGTCTATCTTGCAAGGAATGGATCCCCAAAGAGGGACATGAACTTTGAGCGAGAATATTAATATAACAAGATATATGTAATAATAAGAGGGACATTTAGAAATTGAAGGGTGATAGTATTAGTTATGTTTAAACAATATGTAACAATGAAAATGAAATGTAATAACTATGAGTAATAATATTGTCTAAAATGTATGATACCCAGGTATCACACTATTCACGCATTGATGTGTATAAATAATATAAACTTTAAAAACTTGGGGGGGAAATTTTAATTGTAATCTATTTTGGAGCCAAAAATCTGTTTCTCTCACCCATCACATTATCCCCCCTGACTTTGATGGTTTCAAAAGTTCATAAGTTGATGGGCCAGCTCAATGCCAATATTGGCCCAGAGCATCAATGCCAAGCATGAAATAAGAGGAGGGAAGAGTACAGGAAGTCCTCGATTTACAACAGTTCACTTAGCGACCGTTCAAAGTTACGACATCATTGAACAGATGAGCCTCATTCGCAGTTATGACCAATGCAGCACCCCTGTGGTCACATGATTTACATGTTTGGACCACATGACTCACATTTATGACGGTGGCAGTGTCCCGTGTGTGTGTGTGTGTGTGTGTGACGTGATCCCACTTTTGCGACCCTCTGATGAGCAAAGTCAACGGGGAAGCCAGATTCACTTAACGACCGTGTTACTCGCTTAACAACGGCAGGGATTCACTTAACCGATGTGGCAAGGAAAGTCATAAAATGAGACAAAACTCTCTGAACAACAACCAAAAAAAAAATCTCACTTAGCAACCTAAACTTGGGGCTCAATTCTGATCGTAGGTTGAGGACTACCTGTGTTAGGAATGGAGTTACTCATGATCGAAGTGGGATCTGAATTAAGTTAAATAAAAACGGAATAAATAAACAAACAAGGGAGGTGGGGGGGAAGCATAAAGAAGTGTAAAAACGAACCAAAGGACTTCGTTTTATGACTTGAAAAGTGAACTGTACCTTTGGGTCCTGTAGACAATGGTGATCACAGCAAAAGTGATGGATGTGAGCAAGCCGTAGTCCAGGCCCAGGAAAACTGAGGCGAGAAACGCTACAATCCAAATGGCCTGAAAAAGAATCAAAGAATCATCCAATCAGCCACAAAGGTAAGTCCTTCACTTAAGACGGCAACTGAACCCAAACTTTCAGTTGCTAAGTGAGCCATTTGTTAAGTGAGAACTGCCCCTTTCTTGTCCCAGTTGTTAAGCGAATCACCGCCCTTGTTAAATTAGTCATGCGATCGTTAAGTGAATATGGATTCCCCTTGTCAGAAAGTTCGCAAAAGGGCCAGGAAGATGGTTGAGATATATAAATTGAAAAAGGAGAACGAGAAGAAACTGGTAAATAAATGACGAAAAGATGAAAGAGGAACTTTACAGCATCAAAATGAGTCTACAAAGAAAATATGGGAAATTTCTATGGGAAATTATTTGAGCAAACAGAATCGCTATGAGTTGCCCTCTCCCCTCTTTGGAAGAGCTTTATAGCTCNCTCCCCTCTTTGGGAGAGCTTTATAGCTCCCGCTGCCTTAAGAAAGTTCAAAACATTCTTAAAGATCCATCTCATCCTGGCCACCCCCTTTTTTTTGAACTATTACCATCTGGCAGACGGTAAAGGTTCCCCTCTCACATAGGTGCGAGTCCTTCTTGTCTCTAGGGGGCGGTGCTCATCTCCGTTTCAAAGCCGAAGAGCCAGCGCTATCCGAAGACGTCTCCGTGATCATGTGCCTGGCATGACTAAACCCCGAAGGCGCACGGGACGCTGTTACCTCCCCACCAAAGGGGGTTCCTATTTTTCTCCTTGCATTTTTTACATGCTTTCGAACTGCTAGGTTGGCAGAAGCTAGGAAAAGTAACGGGAGCTCACTCTGTTATGCGGCGCTAGGGATTCAAGCCGCTGAACTGCCGACCTTTCTGATTGACAAGTTCAGTGTCTTAGCCCGAGTACCTTAGTCAGAGTAAAGCTATTAAAGGATTAACTACTTTGTTGCCTGCTTCTGAGTCTCCTCGAAGGCTTTACAGTAAAGTCTAACTCTCTTGAGAACTTTTGATTTAATCTCTGTTACGTTGTTTTGTTTGCTAAAAGACTCTGATAGTCCTTGATTTACAAACACAACATTTCTGTTGCCAAACGAGACGGTTGTGAAATGAATCTGGTTTCGTTAACTTAGCCACAGAGGCACTGCATCCCTGACAGATAGTACAGGATAATAAAAACAAGGAAAAATAGGCTGCAAAACAACTTCTATCCCAGGGCAGTAACTGTATTGAATTCGACGGTTACAGTGCAATATTAATGCACTATTGGCTTTTCAATGTCAATTAAATAGCACGTGAAGGATATGTCTTTGTGTTTTTATTTTTATAGTTATAATGTACACGGAAGAGGGCATTTAATTTCATTGCACGGTGTGCAATGACAATAAAGCAAACTAAACTGAACCAGGTTGCATAAACAGACGGATAGAATCAAGATCACGTGAAGTGTTAATACCACTTTATAAGGCCCTGATAAAGCCACACTTGGAATACTGCATCCAGTTTTGGTTGTCACGATGTAGAAAAGATGTGGAGACTCTAGAAAGAGTGCAGAGAAGAGCAACAAAGAGGATTAGGGGACTGGAGGTTAAAACATATGAAGAACGGTTGCAGGACTTGGGTATGTCTAGTCTGATGAAAAGAAGGACCAAGGGTTATACGATAGTAAGTCTTCTAATATCTCAGGGGCTGCCACAAAAAAGAGGGAG